GTCCTGAGATGTGATGCCCAACATGTTAGCTTATTTCTTATTGAGACTGCAGTGCAAACTTGCATGAGCAAATGGCTTGCTTGTTGCCCTGTACAGACAGCTTGGGTTTCACGGTGTCTGTAGTGAGGGGCTGCTTTTTTTGGAATGAGGGTACTGGAAAGAATACGATTACAAATAATGTGGAGAGCAAAGTGTTCATGTCTTAGCAGAGGGGATATTTTTTAGGAAATGTAGATGATGCTCCACTCCCAAACCCTCATGTTACAAACTAAAAATGTCAGGTTCCCAGGTCACTTGAAATCCACATGAAGCCATGAACAGAAAAGAAACTCGCTAAACATGTTTCAGAATGAACAATTTTTCAGTGGACTTGTTTGGACATTTAGGAAAATGGTGTTTTTGGCTTTGTCTACCAGAGCTCTTAGGTTCAAAGCAGTGACTGGCATGGTTTTCACAACCAGCACATCTCTGCGTCATCCCCACCCACCAGTCAGTTGAGTTGCGGGGTGGTTTTGGTTTGTGCTTCATTCCTCTTGCGTAAAAGTAAACCAGAAGCTGTGCTCCAGTTATGCAATTGGTGCTCCATCCTTTAGGGGAACATAGAGGTCCAAACCAAGGCTGGACAGCTTTGAGCCATATTTGTGATGCAGACACCCAGTCTGGGGGATCAGACTAAATTCCAAACTTAAATCCTGCCCCTCGCCCCAGCTACATGTGGTATACACGTACCAAAGGCTTTGATCTTCCGATCCATTCTCACTGTGCCAAATAATTTGCTAATGTAGAAATGCCCTGTCTTCAGCTAGAATAGAAGAGCAGTGGGGAGGCAGAGGGACTGTCTTCTGTTTGTCTGATTTAGAAAGAAAAAAAAGAAAAAGAAAGAAGAAAGGGAGGAGTTGGAAAGAGAAGAAATAAAACATGACCGTTATCCACATGGGAAGATTAAGTGGAACGAGAGTACTAGAGGAAAGGCCCTGAGTGTGATGGATCAAAAGAGCAAGGCCTCTGGCTGTTACGAAAAAGAATGTCCTATTTCTTGAGAACATATTTATATGTGTGTGTGCTGAATTTTTTTTGCTTTCAAGTGAAATAGTTTTATTCAAAGAAAGGTCTGTTTCTGCCACACAGGCTGTTTAAGGTGGGAAATAGCGGGTGAAAATAAAACTTTCACAGCCAGTCCTATAAGGAATGTTTTGTGCAGATGAGAACTAGGTCCATTATTTTAAAATTAAAAAAAATAAATTCTTTGGAGGTTGGGGGAAACGGGGGCTGACAGCATTTTTGCTGTGGGTTGGCATCTTCGTTGTGCTCCATGTGTTGCTTGGCTGTGCAGTGGGTCCGCTTGTATAGACGTGCGTGTGGTGTCCCATGGATGGCAGGCAGCTCTCGTTGAGCTTAAGCCAAGTTGTGCAGAGGGCTAAGGAATCAAATAATCCCATAGTCAGCCAGAACTCTGCAGCTGCGGTTCAGGCTGTGTGCAAATACTGCAGAGATGGCTGTGGTAGGTGAGGATGTTGCCTCCCATCCTGTGCTGGAGGATCCTTGCCTTGCAATGTACGTTGTCTGCGCAGCTCAGAACATTTCTCACGTGTTTTAATGCAAACTGGGCCACTTCAGGGCAGAGAAGTTGCATCCTCTCAGTTAAAATATTCCATCCTGGATAGCTCAGACCGCATACCTGCAGGAATCTCTTACATTCTTGAGTACAAAGAGTTTGTAAAATGGCAGGAGCTTATACATGCCATTTTATAGGACCCTGCAAAGCGCAGTTACAGAGAAACACATATCCAGTAGGGTTAGCTCTTAAGTCAGTTCTACATGAGTAACTGGGCGAGGTGAGTAACTGTTTCTGATTTTGCTTTGCTGTGTCTGTGAGGGTGAAGCAGAGTGCTGTGGCCACCACAGAGGTATCCCTGTGGACATCTGGGAGCGGATCAGGTGGGTCAGTGGATCAGTGGATCAGGCACACACGTTCCTGCCCCCGCTGCTTCCTTGTGGGGTGCACAGTAAGCTGCTTTTCCAGTTAGCTTTCCAGCAAGCAACAGCAGTAGGGGTAAGATCTGAGACTGGCATTGCTGCTCAGGCTTGGAAACAGTAGAGAAGAAACTGGATGGATCTCTGCAAACCTGTTGGAAATTGATGGGGAGATTCCTGGTCTGAGGGAGTCCAGGGAAACAAAGGTTGATTCTCGATCCTTTGTCTTGCAGGATGTTACTGGAAGGGAGAGATTTTGACAAAAAAAAGAGAAACAAACAAAAAAAACCCCTCATTTCTATTTGCTGTATTGTTACACCTGATCCTAATTAATGACGAATTATGTTGATTAGCAAGAAACTCACTATATTTTTGTGGGGAAAAAAAAAGCCTCTGTCAGTCTTCTGTGTGAACACAGAAATAAAAGACATTGTTGGCACAAGAATAAATGAGTATATAAAAGGTTTTGTGTACATTTAATTAGGAAAGTGGAGGCAGGAAAGTGTGTACATTAATTTAGGTTTAACGCAGCAGCAAGCACTAAGACAATCTGGGAGGTGATGCAGAGTGTCACTCGAATTCAGTACAAGCACACTCCCTTTTCTGTCAGTTCCTAACTGTCTTGTCTCCATTGTTACTTTAACATGACAGAGCAAGCCTCAATTTAGATCCCCCCTCCTTTTTTTTCTCTCTCCAGTGAATACCTAATCATCAAACAGATTTTTGACTGGGTCTTGGCTCTGAGACTCGTTGGCCTAATTTTTCCTCCTAACTGTAACAGCAATAGCTGGTGATTTTTTAATTGTTATTATTTTTTTTAATCTGCAGCGTACAGAATGTTCAGGCATGCAGATGTATTTCGGGTTAATTGACTAATAGTCATCTGAGACCCAGGGCTTCTCTTTGAGATTAACATACAAAGTGATAGGTCAGAAAGCCTAAGGTCCATTACCCCGTGAGATAATAATATCCCTGCAATTAATTTCATTTTCATGATTGCATCATCTTAAAATGAGGTGAAATCCAGGATTTTTCATCTTCCTTTCCTCCAGCAGAGTTTGGCTGGCACAACTTCTGGCTTGGGCGTGTGGAGCCGGTGCCACGGCCAAGCCAAATCCTTCCTTTGTTCTCAGGGCCTGCTGCTGCTGATAAAGTGGTCGGCGCATGGCATTATGTCTTATTACATTTTTGATGCAGACTGCAAAGAAACGGGTAAACTCACCATGGTTACCACGATCTGTCACTTGGCAGGGCACGCCGTACTCAGCAATGGCCTCTAGTGTCTGCTGCACAGCTCTGCATAGCGTGGGTACAGCAGACAATAAGCACCCAGCTGTGGAGCAGCACCAGGTAGGGCCCTGGCTGCTGGCTGCAGGCAGGAGCGACGTCCCAGCTCTGTCCCAGCTCTGTCCCAGCTCTGGCAGTGGGTTCTCCCTCATCGCTGCCTGTTGAAAGTTCTTTGCTTGTGAAACTCCTGTGCTGAGTCCTGCTGCTGTCCACTGCGGTCCCTTATGTGTGCAAAGTATGGTTCGGCCCAGCTTCGCTGTTTTATCTTGCCACATCATGTTTCTAGTGGAGCTTTCTCTTATGTAGCCATGCCCTGCTGTGTTATTTCATCCAAATGAAGCACACATCGTTTAAATTTGCATAACCTCAAATGATCTCCAATTATCTGTACTATTTTATCATTAGCCAATGATATGCTGGTGAAAACGGTCCTGTTTGCGTGGTCTGCAGCTGTGGGGTAAGTGTTGGTGAGGTCTGTTGAGTGGCCAAAGCAGGATTCCTGAGCCTGGCCATCCAGGTCCTTGCTCAGAGCCAGGTTGGAGCTTCCAGGCCCCGTATGTGTGGTGCTTGCAGTAGCAGCCTGGGAACAAGTCTTTACAGGATGCATCTTTTGTTTTATTCTATGGGAGCAGAAATCGCTAGAGTCTGTCTTTGCTTAATTGAGGTAATTAAATCTTTCTACCTTGCAGCACAAAGGGTTCATTAGTGTTTTGAAGCATTTTGAAATCACTGGAGGAAAGATGCTGTTTGCTGTTGTGTCATGTTTGATAAGTGTTGAAATTTCAAGTCATCTGGACTTGGAATATTGGCTGAGCTGTAGGTACAGAAACCTTGCCATTGAGCATGCACAGAGGGAAGGGCTGACTGGGAGCACAGTTGACTACTGTGGTGTTCCTCCCCAGTGCAGGACCCGTGCTCTGTAGGTGTGTTTTAATTTTTTTTTGCTGTTTGTTTTTACTGTGCTTCAGAAGGATGCGACTGTTAACTCCTCATGAAACCTTAGCAGTAGACACATGCAATATAGTGCCATAAAACTTAGCGGCTTGGTTTGAAACAAAGATAAACCTTCCTTTTTTCAAATGGACCTCGTGTTACCTTCATTAGGATTTCACATCCAGTTAACTGGGCAGGATGCAGAACACACTCTCTTCCTAGAACAAAGACACCACCACAGTGATGACTTGTGATACATTCTGAAATGGAAAGATTTCCCAGCCGAGGTAGAGTCTGTTCCACTGTGTTCAGCAGAGCTTTTCACAATGTAACTACTGGCTTTCTGTTTCTTAGTGAAGAGAAACAGGGAATGAAATCTCTTGCAACTTCTAAACAAAGCTAGTGGTTTACATGGTTCTGAGCAGCAGTGACTTGACAATGGTATAATTCAGGTTCATGTGGAAGGTGGTGAATAAGATCCCTTCCTCTAATGAAGGGCAGTTGGGAATTTTTAGCAAGGAATTCTGCAAAGGGAAGATTTGCAGGCAGCAGGAGGTCTGAGTCTGTGCCTGCAGGCAAGGAGAGCAGCACCAGTGGGGGTGTGGGGGCTTTTAACTGCAGGAGTGAAAGAGCAGCTAAGTCGAACACTGCCTCAGCCCTGAGTGTGCAATTCATCACCAGCCTGTTAAAGCTGTTGTAAAACAGGGAGTAGGATTAAGCCCTCCAAAAGAAATCTTATTTCTCAGTAACAAATGCTTACCATAGTGAAGTAGTGAAGTGTCTTGCTTCCCTGTTTCTGAAGTAGTTAATCAGTGATTGCATTGGTAGAGTCTTTGAGCTGACCCATAATCCAAAGAGATGGTTTTTTGCCTTTGATTTACTTACGTAGCACAGTTTGACAGGCAAAAGATGTTTGATATCTCACAAAGGAATAATGCTTAGCAGTCTTCACCTCAATGTCATACAATGAGCAGCAGATCTGATAGACCTCAACTGACTGTTCTCTATGAATAGTTTTGGCATCAGCTGAAAATAGTACTGAGGATAACTTGCATTGACCATGTGATGACACTTTGAGTTGCAAAATTGCTTTCAGATAACTTGCACTGAAAAAGTAAAAATAGCGCAGGGCGTTAGACTCATCTACGTGGAATGTATATATGCAAAAATAGGGCTCCTTAAGATTTAGTTTGTCTAGGCAGAACAACTTGTCATGTTACACTGCTTCACTTTTAGACAAACAATTTGCACTGATAAGGTTGCAGGCTGTGCTATTTTGAAGTGTGCAGCAAACATTGGGGAAGCAGTAATTTGTCTGTTAGTAGGAAGTAGTGTGGCTCTGGCATTGGCTGGCTTAGAGTAAGGTGAGAATTCACAGCTTAAGAAAAGAGGAAAGCCACCTGAAATGTGTTCCCATGTAACCGACTCATCCATCTGGAGATAATAACAAGCATTTTCTCTTTTTTCTCTGCTGCAGCTGGGAGCGTTCACTCTCCCTCCACAAGTATGGCAACGTCTGCGCAATACAGGCAGCTGATAAATGACTACGGGCCCCCATCGCTAGGGTACACACAAGGGATACAGGTATGGCTCTGCTGCTTGTTTTTTCTTTCACCAGATCACTGACCCTGTGACTGCACAGTATCGTGGATAGTGGCCTGTAATCTGAGGTGTTCCCCCCTCTCACTAAGGTCTGAAATCAAACCCAAATGGCAAACTGATTCATCACACATATCTTGGGATCGAATTAGACTAAGCAGAGTGCTGAGTGAGATTAGTTACTAATTAACTGTTAGTCCCTTTCCTTCTGAGTCAGTGAACCATGTCTTGAGTTATGTTCTGGTAGCAAGGGCTGTTACATGCTTTTTAATCGTTAGAAAAGTAATAGTCCTACACCTTTAACTGTTTGCCTTGGACAAACTGCTGATTTAAGATTGACAGTCTCATGAAGCGTGTTACAGACATACCTATGGGCTGGTGAACTTTCTGTGACATCTGTTTACCACTTAATAGGATTTCCCTACTGTACGGGCAGTTTTGTTTTACCTGCTCTTCATTCTCTCTAATACAAAATATACATCTGAACACTGATAAAGACAGCAAGAGGGTTCAACAAGTAGTTCTCAGTTTGCTGTTTTTGTAGGACTGTTCTAACTTCTGCTTCATCTCAGGCTCCAATCGTGCAGCTGCATCCTATGTGACTCCACTTTTTGAAGGGCACGTAGCATTGTGTCCAGCTATAGCAGCAAAGGCAAAAAGAAAATCATGTTTATGTAGCAAACCTGACAACTTATTTTAAAAAAAAGTGGCTTCCTGGGGTATTCAGTGAATTTCCAGGTGCTGTTTGTTCCAATTGTTTTGGTTTTAGTAGCATGTAATTGAGATTAATCTACTTCCAATTACAGGGTACCAGCAGCAGTCAAGTACCGCAGAGCAAATATGCAGAACTTCTAGCTATCATTGAAGAATTAGGAAAAGAGATCAGACCCACATATGCTGGGAGTAAAAGTGCGATGGAGAGGCTAAAACGAGGTAATGTTTAAAACAGAAAAATATATATTTTAAGGTATCCCATATTCTTTGTGTACTGACTACTTGTAGGCAGCTTCATAACAATGGTCTCCCTTGAATGGAGACAGCTGTATTGAGCTTGTTGTTAAACTGAGTGTATTAATGAGCAACTAGAGCTCTGGTATGCTCTATTCTTGCTGTATTTAATAGTGGCCAAACGTGTTTCATGTGCACAGGGAGATTTTCAGTTAATAATTCAAACCTTGTTTTAGAAGCCTTAAGTTGTCAGCTGGACATGTTCTGCTAGGTTCTTGGTGACTTGCTTGTCCTTTAACTGTGTCTTCTCTCTAACATCCAAAATACACAACCAAACATTGTTTTCATCCTCTGATAAACGTCACTCACCTCCTTGACCCAAGAGCTCTTACTGAAAGGATTAAGGAAATACTACTTTGTGTTAAGTTGCACTGGGGCTGGTGGAGAGAACAGCTGGGGAAAAACAGAAAGGGTTTGTCAGTGAAGGCTGTTGAGAGTGAGATGTCAAACATACTCCTCCTCTGCATGGTATGGGGCCACTTAGACTCCATTACCTGTTTCAAGTGGATGTCATTAGGAGTCTGCTGCTAAGGGACATAGAAGCTTTTAGGTCTGGCTGATGAGGTCTCTTCAGCTTTGCTTAGTCAGCTAAAAGAGGTCACATAAATGCCCTTTCCTTTGCAGTGTAAAAGGAACCCCCACATGCCCTGCTGCTTACATCAGCTTGACATTGTCCTCTGCAAAGGACGTGCAAGGGGTATTTGTGAAGGAGCAGTGGGACATTCCATTGCTCCTAAAATGACCCTGAATGCCACCTACAATGGATGTGCTGGCATTTCTGTCCTTGGCCAATACACAGAGTTACCTTTTCCTCCCTTTCCTTAGTCCTTGTGCTGAGTTTGGCTCACTCACTTCAACCTGAACGGGAGCGTTACTGTAACAGACTAACATCTCACCACCTTGCAGATCCCCCTTACACTCACCCAAGACTACAAAGCTTTATTTAAGGCTCAACCATTATGGGAGAGTAATATATCTGCTGTGACGTGCAATAAAATGACTAGTAGCTGTTCTGGGAAAGGATGCAATAAAGTCTGCTGATGAGTGGTAAGTGGAATCTAGCCCAGCTAAAATCAATGTTGCTGGAGTCTCTCTTTATTGCATTGCCGGAGTCAGTATTAATAGATCATGAATGGCAATAGGCTAATGGGGACAACTTGAGAGAGAGCAGGAGAGATGCAGAACTGTTCAGAGAATATCAGTTGGGTGAGGAAACGTTGTTTTGTTACTTCTTGCACTGGGCATTGATTTGTTCGCTAATGTAGGCTTAAGATTCAGTGCTGCCACTGTGACTGGCTCACAAATGATGCAAAAAATCCACATTAAGTACTTTTTGCTGCCATCTTTTGGTCACAAAGGTACATCTCTTTGCATTTTAGGAGCTATATGGCTGAAGGAGCATGTGCAAGTGTGAGAGCAAAGTGAGTGAGGGTAACCACGTGACGGCAGCCTCCATGGCCACGAGGAGGTTACTGCTGAGTAAAGTCCCTGTCCCCTGCTCCATCTGCTCCTAGGGACAGAGGATACTGACCTCTAAAACTGGCTAAATTCCCAGCGTTCTACATAATTCAGGGTAGTTCTTCTGCATAAACTGGGCATCCTGCCATTAGATCCAGGTCTAGTATACTGCTTTGATAGGCGTTTCTGCCTCCCACAGCTGTAGGAGGATGCAGCTTTACTTGTCTGCCTTAATTTAACCCTGAGCAAAGCCATCCACCCATCATGTCCCCAGTCTCTACTTCTTGGATGTAGAGGCTGTTGCTGTGATCTGGGCTAGCAGCCTTCTAGAGACAGAATCCATTACATCTAACAAGAGATTAAATCTCTTCTATTGCCTTATTGTCATTTCTTCACCTTGTTAAGGAGCATGACCGAGCAGAGAAATCACCTCCCATCTTTTCCTGATAGTAAAATATAACCTTGTTAGTTGTAGAAAAATCTGTCTCCCCTCATAAAAATCTAACTTGAGCTCTGTTCTTTCAGCAGCTCTGTGAACATGAAGTTCCAGCATTAAGACTTGAGGTCCATGCTGCTAGAACTCAAGGCAGAAGGACTCTGTGGAAAATTCCACATAATGCCTATCAGAGTAGATATGGCAGCATGTAAAGCAGTGATGATTTATACTGGGAGCTGAGCCAGTTAGGAGGTACCTTTATGCACATGGCATTACAAGATTTCTCTTACACAACTTGTGCTTAGGCAGTACTATGAAAGCTTGGATTTTGATGCATCCTCTTGTAGAAGAATTGTTCCAAGGCATTAATTAAGGCTCTTAGGCCTTGCTAAAATGACTTCCTAAATAAGTTCAGATGTTTTTCACCCCACAGTACCAACATAACTGACAGGTTGATTTTTTTTTCTTTCTAATTAAGCTTCTCATTTTAATGAGATACTGCACATTACAATGTACTTCTCACTGCAGCCCTGCAAAGCTCATAATGCTCTGATTCCTTGTTTGGTCCATTTTCAATCCCTAACACCAGTTTGGGAAAGCAAACTTCTTCAGCAGTGGCTGATGTTAGGGCAGGGAGGGCTCTCTCCATTTTCTGTGTTACGCTGTGGTAGCCTTGGAGACTCGGCAGAAACACATAAACCTTTCTGTGAACTGTCACTGCAAATGTCACCTGAATGAGATAATTTAAAATATGCTCAATTCTTTTTCAGGCATTATTCATGCTAGAGGATTAGTTCGGGAATGCTTGGCTGAGACTGAACGAAATGCAAGATCCTAGCCCATGAATGCAGCTACAAGATCTTCCATCTCTTAATGAAGAAAAAGTAATGCCTACTCATTCTGACTCTTGAAACATTCAGACAAATTCCTTTATTTTGAAGGTTTTACCTTTCTTTTTGCCTTTAAAAATGTATAGTGAAGAATGACAAAACAAGGATTTTTCAACTTGCTGAGGGTTGGCATTTTGTAAAGACACTAAAACTCCCTAAGGCGTTTCTAAACCATGAAAACTGAACTGCATGCAGAGGAATGCTCTCTCCTAGGCTATATTTCAGTTCACTTCCTATCCAGCCACAATCCCGTTGTTGGGTTTTTTTAAATCCTTTTTACTGTATCAACGTAACCCCAAACTGTCAGTCTTTCAAAGTTTGACATAAGCTGTAAGGACTTTTTTTTTATTAAATAAATGCAGAATAGCATGCTGTACTTAGTAGTCTGCTATGCCACAATTTGCCATACAGCATAGACCCTGCTTAAAAATAATAACCTTCTCCTCTTACTTTTCCTTTTTTGTTCATTTTGCATAAACACTTGCATGACTAATAGTGCTTTGAAGTCCTTTTAAAGTGCATGAATTATATGGAAAATAGGGAAGCCTATTAAATAATAACAAGGTTCTGGAAAGCTAATTTCTACATTAAGGCTGGAGATTTCAGTTTTAAGTTTGCAAAAAAAAAAAAAAAAAGAAAATTCTGGATAAATTACTAAAACTTATTTGCATCTTTTTATGTATTTATTACTTGATGTAATAAAGCTTATTTTCATTAACAGTTTGTATTAAAAGTATCTACAGTCACTTTGTTCAGATTCACACATCTGGTATGAAAAGCAGGAGGCTCACATTCAGGAAGAAGGGAACAGGCCTGCAAACTGTTGGTCTGTTTTCATTGAAGGTACAGTCCTGCTGCAGTCGACTTCTGTCAGAGGATGGTATTGTTGCTAGTAGTCTACCTTGCTTTCAAAATACACAGACAGCTTGGCTTCTTGAAGCTGTTTGCCTTTGTTATCGAAGGTCAGAACGCAGTTAGCAGCCTGTGAGGGTTCTGCTGAAAATTAGAGAAGTTCTAGTTAAGCAATTAGTAACTATTAGCAGTATTAAAATACTGATAAGCCCTCACTTGTAGGAATGCCTGCCTTCCCTCCTCAACAATGCTCATCATCACTGCAGGTAAAAGCTGTAAAGCTATGTTTAAAATTCCTTCAGAATTGAGAGAGCTGGAGCATTTATGCAGGAAGTTCAACTAACAGATCTGAAGGAGACAGTCAGTGACTGGTGGTGCTTTGTCTCAAGTCTGTGTACTCAATCAGAGTATCACAGAGTAGCTTTTTCAGGTCCCATCTAACCCTGGTCACTTTATGCAGGATTTATATCAGTGCAGGCATTGTCTAAGTAAGGATGGAATGTTAAAACCTGTAAGGAATGTTCTCCTTATGTACTGGAACGCCTATGAAATAGTACAAGGCAGAAACTCAGCAGAAAAAAGATTCTTAAATACAAGTAATGAGATGATGGCAAACAGAAGTAAGAACACACTGTGCTTTAACTCTTAAACTTTACTGTAAGAGCAGGTCAGGTCACTACTCAATACTTCTGTTGTGCTTATGGAGCTCATTGTTATACATCAGTCAGAAAACTATGCACAGCTATGACAAACTTCTCCCTTATCCTACCAGAGCCAGTCAGTATTTCATGTTTATTTCCTGTCCAATTGTAGCATCTCTTTAAAGTGCTTTTTCCTTTCTAGGTTTTCCTTTGCTCTTCTTTTTTTCTCCTGCTTCTTCTTCTCTGATGCCTTCTTCTCTTTATAAACATCACTTTCTTCACCCTTGTAGAAGAGGTCAACCTTTTCCTGCAGGATTTCTCTGGCTATCTTTCGGTTCTTCTCCACTGATCTTGTTTGATGGCACTGAAGAAATACAGGAGGACGTCCTTATCACAACGTTCAGCTGTTTATTTTTCTGTTTTCCTGCTAAACCTTTATATCCAGACAGCCCCAGGTTATTTGTCTGTTAACCAAAGCTGCCTCTTGCCGAGGTACTTCATGTACGCATAAACCTTTCTGCGACAACCATGCTGAGATTATGACCGACCATAAAAGCAAACCTGAACACCACGCAGCCCTCGCCGTAATGAAAGAAAACACAATTACCTTCACCACAATCCCTGACGGAACGTGCTTCAGGACAACACAATTGCTGGTCTTGTTAGTGGCCTGCCCTCCTGGGCCATCGCCCCTCACAAACTGCTCCTTCAGCTCCGCCTCGGTGAGCGGCACCAGCTGCAAGGAGCTCCTCTTCCCGGCTGCCCACGGCGAGGGCCCCCGGCTCAGGGACAGCCGCTGCGTCCTCCATAGGGCTGCGCTGCGTGCCGCCAGAACGAACGCGAAGGCGAACGAGTTCGGAACGCTCATACAGAAAGGAGCTTCTCTGCGATGGAAGTTAAAGCACAGCTGAGGAAACCAACGCGGAAGCTTGCATCTGCAAGTAAGCGTGTCTGCTTGGTGGCACTAGAAGGACGTTTTTTTTCTTCTGTCGCTGAGGCTGCAGCTGCAAGAGAACCAGAGGCGCTGTCCCGCATCGACCCGAGGGGAGGCGGCCAGCACAAACCCCCACACAGCCCCGGCGCTTACCTCAGGGCCCCGGGCCGAGCGCCATACTGCGCATGCGCGTTTCCCTGCGCACACGGCCCTACGCGCACTTTCCGTCACATCTGCACATGCGCGGCACTTGGAGGCGGGGATGCCACCCCGCTAATTGGCAATCACCACAACCAATCGCTGCGCACGGAGTCCTTATGCATGCCCCCCACATTCTTTACCAATCAGGCTCTGGGAACCGTCCGGCGCGTAGTCGCAATAGCCAATCCCCTGGCGGCGACGTGTGTCCTTTCCCTCTCAGCCAATCCAAGTGGAAGGCGCGCCCTGGAGCGCGCACAAGGTATCCAATCAGCGTGCGGTCTCCTCGCCGCAGCGCCCCCCCGCCCCACCGCGTTCGAAAGTGGGCCGCCAATCGTCGGGGAGGAGGAGGGAGCCGCGCTTGTTTATCGCTGAAAGGTCGCTGAGCAAAGCCGCTCCCGGAGGGCTCTCGGCAATCTCCCGGCAATGCGGGTAGGCACCGGATGAGTCCCGAGGACAGCTGGTGAGGCGAGAGTCCGGCAGTGCTGCAGCGCTTGGCCGTACCTCAGCGCCGCGGGGCCACCCGTACCGCGCCGCCCCTTCCTTGCAGAGTGGCAGCGCTTCCGGCCAATCAGGGTCGGCGCCGCCGTCAACATCCCGGAACGCGAGGGGCAGTAGCCAATGGCAGTGCGGAGGCGGGGCTTCGGCTTGAGGAGAGGCAGAGCGGTGGCGGGTTGGGGGGCCGTCGGCCGTGAGGGGACGGAGCCGGAGGGATCGCGGCAGGTGAGGGCGGGGGCGGATCGGGGCCTGAGGGGCTGTGGCGAGGGAAAGGGAGGGAATGGGGCAGCGCTGGAGGCAGAGGGGCAATTAGTGGGTGGCGAGAAGGGGTGCGGGACCCTGAGGGGACAGAGAGAGGGGCCGCTGTGAGGGGGAAGCGGGGGTCCTGGGGAGGGCCTGGCAGCAGGCGCTCTGCGTGGGGAGCAGGGCGGGGCCTGGGGCTGTGCCGGCACCCGGAGCCGTGCCGATGAGTTAAATACCTCCCGGCTGACTTAATCCTGCTCCTCCGTGCGGGGGTTTGGCAGAACGAGGGCTTGTGCTGCGCTATGGAAACAGCAGGTGACAGCTGAGCTGCTCTCGGCCCTGTTGGAGCTCCATGTATGTTTCATTGCGGGCAGACTTCTAACGAGGTTATGAAACGAGTTTGTGCCACAGCTAAGGCCCACCTGTCTGCTGAGGTAACTGGGGCACCATGGGCCCAGCCCGGGCTGTCTGAAGGCCCCCCACCTCAGCTGCATGATGACCTTCATGTCCTCGCACTGCTGGCCCTGCCAGAAAGAAATGAGCTTTTTCACCCTCACTTCCATTTCTCCCAGGAAGCTCTGTCAAAGGGATGTGTGGATCTGCGATAACTTCCTTCCAGTTCTTGCATTTTAAGCTGTACTCTGAGGAGTTCGAGTAGCAAGGTGCCAACAGAGCATTTTACTACAGGCTGCTTCACTTTAGCAGTAGGACAGAGATTAATTGGACAGCTGTCTAGCGGTTTCCTTCTGGTAGAAATGAGTTTTTACACTTTATCAGTGTGAGATGTGCTGGTGTACTTACAAGTAATGGAAGCTTAAATCCCTGAAAGTCAGCAGCGTGTCCTTGTAAGCCCTGTAAAGAATGGCTGTGCTTTGAAGGTATTGGGCTGCTGCAAGGCAGCGGGGATTTATTCTCTGTATGACCACAGGCTGCTGGGATGACGTTACTTAATGCCTCCTTTTGTTCTACCAAACAATCATAAGGTTTTCCTGCAGTGTAGAGCATGAGATGGATTCACCAGGGCACAGCAGATGCTGAAGTAAGCACTGTAGAAGAACTGATTAATGTATGTATTTCAAATGCTTTTGTTCTTGATGAACAAATCGAAACTGGGAGCATACTTAATGTTGCCATTCTTGTAAACTGCTGCTTTGAGTGCTGCAAGACCAATGCACAAGTATTTTTTATATATATATTTATAATGTAGGAATTTGGTTTGTGCTTAATTGGTTTAAAAAAAAAATCTCAAGCAGTTGTAATGCTTTTTGAATTAATGTTATGCAGTAATAATAAAACAAGCTAATGTGTGCGGGGGGAAAATTAAAAATGAGCCTGATATTGAGTACACAACCATCTATGCTCGAATTGGGCAGCTGCAGTCTAGCTCAGTAGTTCTGATTCTGTTTTCTGGGGTGGGCACAGAGCCTCTGGATTCTAATGGACTGAGAATAGGCCCCTACTTTTTAATTGTGCTCTACAGAAGTCTCAAAAACTGTGGAGCCCCAGCTTTGAAACAAACCAACAAAACCCACACCTGTGCTCTACCTGCAGTTTTGGGTTCAGACCCCCTTATAGGCCATTCTTATGTGGTGGGAATCTCCTCTAGACTTGTGAGAATCACTGCAAGTACAGTACTGACTAAACAGCAACTGTTAGCAAGCATAGCTGGGGGCAAGGGAGAGAAGTTCTTGGAATGCTGCGTGCCCTGGGGTGGTTTGACTGAAAGAACTGCCTCTTCAATCAAATTCTGTTTCACCAAACTACAGAGTCATGTTATTATTATTATAATTTTTAACAGGAGAGTGATACTTAATTCATGTTTGCAGGGTATAATCATACTTGGATCTAAGATATGGAAAGTCATGACTCGGTGAATGCTGTGCAAGAGATCTCTTCGTCTTCTGTAGACTCTGATGTCAAAAATACCCACAGCTCTGTTTGCAACTTGAATTGTAACAGGTAATGATACAGATAATGATGGAGGAATTCCTAACATTTTTAATCTTTTTGCTTTGTGTAGATGCTATGCTTGCTAGCATTGTTACCATGGTGGCACTGCAATGTATTTCCGGTTTTTTACAATTGCAGATAAAATGCTTGATGAGAAAAGCCTCATTAAAAGAAGACTTAAATCATCCTTAAAAACTTACTGACTTCTGTTGCCTCGCGTCTCCTTGAGTGGAGGAGTGGGGAAACAGTCTTGGCCAATTTAGAAGTGATTATTCTTTGTAAAGACCGTGTAGAACATTAAGTCATTTGTGGAATACAGTGGCTTAGAAAAAGGGAATTGTTTTTCCATTCTGTGCCCAAGGTATTTCCTCTGAATAAGGAGGGCAGATACGGAGTAGCTGCCCACCTGCCAGATCAGGGGAGGTTCTTCTCGACTTGCTGTAAGAACTGCAGGTCACGTACTGGTGCAGCTTCTCAAAACAAGGCTGTGGAGCTGAACTTTGTAACTCATCGTTTCACTGCATTTTGGCATTTTCTTGAAGAATGTCTTCATTCTGAACACAGCGCTTTTATCTTTCAGCTAGATTAGGATCGCGATGTAAATTAAGCATGTAATTCTTTGATGGCTCTGTAGCATCATCGTGGCTGCTATGCTGGACAGCTGGCACAGTAAATAATTGAAGTTTTTCCTCATGTTTCACAAGGAGCCCCTCAGCCAATCCCAGTGGAGTTTCTGGTTACTCAGGGAATACCAGGTCCTCCTTAGTTGCTGCCTCTGTTGAGCTGCTCTCCTCCTACATGCGGGATATCCAGGACAGTGGGAATGCTGACTCTGAAACTGTGAAGAACTGTGAGGTACTTGTTAAGGCTTATTGAAAAAGAAATAAATGGATCAATGCATCTGCGCTGCATTTTGGAAGGTGGATCCAACGGTGGTATTGTGCAGCAGTAAGGGATTACATAAACATTTATTCTTTAATGGGGCAGATCCACTTATTATGCTGTGAACTGATCACACAGATGGATTTTGTTGTGATTTTTCTTATGTACGAGTGTGTTACAGTAACAGTACTCTGTTTCTTTCAGTGTTAGGATAAGGATTCCAAGTTTTTTTTTTAATTAAAACTTTAAACCTTTAAAACTGCAGCACTTCACACTCAAGCCTGAATTGATCCTGGAAATGAGTTGATTTTTTTTCTTCTACGAATTACGCTGTTTCCCTTCTATCATTTATTCATTCATTTTGTAAACAGGTGTAGATTATTAGTTTTTCAGATTAGGAACAACACAAAGGTAGTAATTTATGTACAGCCAGCTCATTTTCTCAAGCCCTTTTAAAATGTTTTTCCTTCTTTATGTTATGTTTGATCATTATTTTTAGCCTCCGTAGGGAACATCAAGTTTCCATACCATGGACTTGTTCTTGCAGAATTTTTGAGCTTTCTGGCTGTGGTCCAATAAAATGTCTTCTGACAGATGCTTAATTTGGTGCTCTTTAACAGATCCAAGGAAAGAATGTAGATGTCTGTGTTCTGTGTCCTAGACTTCAGCATTACACAAATTGGGCTGTACTTTCCTTCTTCGTGTTCTTCTTCTTCTGTCTTCTTTCTGTGGTGTTATTACTGTCTCCTCTGACTGAGGCAATGGGGAACTGCATGTATTGTGGGGTGCACAGCCCAGTGCATAGTGGCACAGCCAAGTTTATATGATGTCCAGCACAGAATTGTAATATTGCAAAACTGTTGTGCACTTAGAATGAAAGGTGAGAGGTGCAACGTGATCGTGCTTTAATTGTTCTACTTTGTGATTAAACAGGCAAGGTGGCTACAGCTGTTGAGACTGGTAGAGGAACAATGCCAGGAACAAATAGCTGCCCAGCAAGAACAGTTCCACCATCAAATCCAAGTAAGTAATGATTTATTCATGTGGATAGGTGAGGCTGAATGTTTCTTTTTCTTTCTTTCCCTACAGTATGGCCTCTGGCACTTCCCAGCCTTCCCATGAGTATGCTGGGCCTGTAATTCAGGCTGGTAGTGGAAGTGGATGTCTGGATTGCCAGTTTACAGGATGAATATTTGAGGTAGTTGTGGCTAATTAAAAATGTAACTGGTAGGAACCATTTCAGCAGTGAAATTTCTTGGCTTATTTATCTGTCTTCACAAGCGTACGATTTTGGATGCCCTCATGATAACTGGACTTTTTGGGCACAAGCTGTTTTTAGTTTGGAATCTTGAGGCAATGCAATTTTCTTCTGGTAAGAAAACATAATTTCCTCATCTAAACAATATAAAGCATAGGAAAAAGCCCTTGCTGTGATAGCTGAGCACCTCTTTCACCTTT